CATTACTAAATAGCTCAAAGCACATTATATGGAAAATTTTATGTTCCTAACACACAGGGGTTATCTGGGAATTTTTACCCTCAGTTCTACTTTTTAAATATTTTTGATTAGTAGCTGTTGGCTCATTTCTGTATACATTTCTTGGCCGTGCAAACACCTGCATGTGTGGAGTTTCACAGCGCAAAGTGCAGTGGACTCTAGAACTGCACTGATCCATGGTGTGGATAGAGTGAAGACTGCTGGATAAGAGGCCTCCCCTTGCTTTTATTTGTCTGGCCTGTGACTGTTGCTGAGCAAAGGTCATTTAAGACAAAAGCAAGGTAAAAAAGTGGGGCTCAGTTACTCCACTGAGTGATGGTGAATCATCTGCTAGTGTTATGGATGAGAAATGAAGACATGTTAGAAAACGGAGACTCAGCTGAGATCTTTATTTTGCTAGCAAGGCACTCACATCATCTGTGCTCAGTTCCAATCAAAGGAAGATATATGTTTACCCATCCGAAACATACCCCTATTAATACAGCATTGCTCTTGACTCAACCTGAGCTCCTGATGACCCAATCCTGGGTGCGGTACTGCCTGTCAGGCCCTGTGTCAGGAGAGCTGAGGGCAGTGCAGTATCATTTATGCCCTAATACGGAAGAGACATTAGTAGTTAGCAGCAATGTCTTCCCTGCCCYCCTCTCCCCCAGAATGATGTTGTTTAACCTCTACTTTTTTATTAATTTGTCAGACCTTGTGCAAGTATCCAGTGACAACACTGTGCAGTCCCCCAACCGGCTACCGCATGTTGGTGCAGCGCGACCTCAGCAGGTACCTCCCTCCTGCCAGCGGTGTGACTGTCACCATGTCTGTGCAAGGTGCTTTCTGTGGCCCATATAGCCACGTAATCCGTAAACACAGAGAGGTGGCAAAAATGTGCTGAACACAGGTTGCATTCTGGAGGCCCAGCCTTTTCCCTAGCTTTGAAGAGACAAATTAAGACAAAATATATCACAAGCAGTAAGTGCAGAGGACRGTGTTCAGGCATGGAAGCTGCACTGCTGTCAGTCTGTTATGTCTGTGCAGCCTCTCCAGCTCTGCTCTGACCAGAGCTCTAGGCTTTCTGCCAGCCTTAACCCTTCTGTTAAGGGAGTGTGGTGTGCCCTCAAGTCACAGTGTTCAGTATAGGGGAGTCAGGGAGAGCACAGTTTGTCCCTGGCTGTCCTRTGATACTCAGCAATGTCCTTTGTCTATGAAGTTACACATTTAAGGCACTGAAGTACTGCTTGACCGGAGGGGAACCACTCAACCCAGAAGTGATGGCACARTGGAAAAGGCAAACAGGACTGGATATCTATGAAGGCTACGGCCAGACAGAAATCGTATGTTCACCTTCATTTGTAAAGTGTTACAATTCAAATGTCACTTAAAATTCTCAGGGGACTTGTAAACAACGTTCTTTTTGGTAAATATATAACTACATATAAAAATACATATTTACCCAAACCAGGGGGAAAAAGTCATGTTAGGGTTTATGGCAATTGCCTACAAGAGCATGTTATTTTGCTTACAAATTGGTTTTGATATTGCTTTTAAGACATGACCTTTGAAACATCTCGATTTTTTTGTCCAAGTTTCTCAGTGAAGTCCATATACTTTTTGGCTCATATGTGAAACATTTACATCGTAAACAAGCTCAACAGTGAGCACAGGATAAGAACAAGAATAGCCTCAGCAACGATAAGGGAAAAATACCTGGGCTGATTTTTTCTCTTTTCCAAAGGGAATTATATGTGCAAATATGAAAGGAATGAAAATTAAGCCAGGTTCCTTGGGAAAGGCAACTCCCCCCTATGATGTTCAGGTATGTTGGTCTCATTTTCTGTTGTTGTTGATTTCTTGAAGGTAAAACACAGGAAAGTGCAGGATACAGTACAACCGTCAGTACTGTACAGTCACATTTAGGTCTGTGAGTCAAATGTTATCAGCTGATCCATTGGTTTGTTGTTGTTTAGAACCTGTCTCTTTCTCAGTGAGATACTGCAATTACTCTTGTGTCTTTGTTATTGCAGATTTTAGATGAAAATGGCAGCATTCTCCCTCCTGGCAAAGAAGGAGACATTGCCATCAAAATAAATACCAAGCGGCCTTTTACTTTTTTCAGTTGCTACTTGGTAAGTTAACAGCAAGTTTCCAGAAAGCTGTTCTAGACCTGCAGGGTGAAATATATTTATACAAGCAGTAGGAGGTGCAACACAAACTGTGGCTGTTTTTGGTTTAGAGACTTTGTGACATCTCACCTTGACCCACTCCTTCTCACCCCTTCCCCTAATTTCAAAAGGAAGAGTGCTTTTTCCTAGCATATTTCCAGGGTGCATCTCCTGCACTGCTTGCTCTTCCTCTTGTTGGGGTACACTGGTCTGCTGTCCTCTTCACAATTAGAGACAGCCCAGAAGGCAAGAGGAGCTTTTTGAAATGCACCTGAAATAAGACATAGATAAGGGGTATCTGTATTTGTTCCTTCCACGTTTTATGCCTTTCTAGCCCCAAATCCTACAAGAATTGGCTGGTAAGAATTGGAACTCCTTTGCTCAGATCTGGACATCTTCAAGCTTGGTGATTTAGCCAGGGTACAATTATAAATGCCCCAAGGAAAAGCAGCTGAATCGCTGGATAAAAAAAAAAAAAAAAGTGACTTTTCTGTTTCTCACTCTGCCCCTACATTGTGTCTTAATTGGAATTTAAGACATCTGTAGTTTTATAGAAATAAGAATTTCTTTTGGGACTGAACAAGGACTATTTGATGTGAAATCTTGATTCTGTCTCATATTCTTCTGTAGATCTACTGTTTGACCTTTAGTGCTTTATTTGCCTGTGTGATACATTATCCCCTCTGCAAAAAAACGAGCACAACCTCTTACACTTTTTAGGCAAGAAGAGTGCAATGAAAGATAATATGGATAGTGCCCAAAGAGGCAAAGTTCATCTATATGCTTAAAGCTTCTCAGTATTTAGAATGTTTAGTTGTTGCTTTGTCAACAGGATGATCCAGTGAAAACGGCTTCGACAATCCGTGGAAACTTCTATATCACTGGAGACAGAGGGAGCAAGGATGAGGATGGATACATATGGTTTATGGGGAGGTCTGACGATGTCATCATCTCCTCGGGGTTTGTAGATTTTGGTTAAAGGGCCAGGAAGTGTCTAATACCTGTATACCTTTCCTCTAGTAAGCATTTAATTTCTCTCTCTTAGGTATCGTATCGGACCATTTGAAATAGAGAACGCCCTGATAGAGCACCCAGCTGTGGTGGAGTCGGCTGTTGTCAGCAGCCCTGATCCTGTCAGGGGAGAGGTAATTAAWAGTACCTAAAGTTACCCCATAAGGTAATTTGTGTAACAGAGGCTATACTCAACTTCCACAGAATTCCCAAGACTCTTCATAGAGCTATCCAAATGGTTCCACCACTTAATCAGCAGTAACAGGAATGGAAAATTTGTCTGCCCCAGATTTTGTATTTATTTATAGATTCATATGATCATTAGTTTTCTAAAGAACAGGTCACTGTATATAAAGGTGACTCTGGTCAGAACTGAAGAACAGTTTCATCCACTACCTGGAGAATTATATTCCTTAATTTAACAATACAGGTAGTCTTAGAGTTGAAAAACTGTAAAAGTCCTTTACAGAACTTTTACAAATTTGGAAGCAGATTTTGAAACTTTTATCTTGTACTGCGAAGGATCTGGATTAATGTAAGGTAGAAACATTATTTAGTTCCAATTTTAGATTTGTTTACCGCACAGGTGTTAAATAGCAAGCCTGTACTGCAGGCCATACTCATTTATTCTCAAATGTCATATTTGCTAGCTTGCTCTAATTTAATTAATACTATAATTCTTAATTATTTTCCTTTCATAGGTGGTAAAGGCTTTTGTGGTCTTATCTCCTTCCGGTAAGTTACAAGATCCAAAGAATCTGACCTGCGACTTGCAAGATCATGTTAAGAAAGTCACCGCTCCATACAAGTACCCCAGAAAGGCAAGTAAATATGGAAAGGCTATGAGTAAAAAGATTAGACTCAGCTCTTAGCATGAGATCTTAGCTTTTTTGTCTGTTGTAAGTCTGTACTTAAAAATAAATATGAGAAACATGATTTTCAAAGATAGACTGGAAAATGGTAACTCCCATCTGTTTTCAGATAATGTAGTGTTTCTCCAATCACTATATTCTTATCTAAACCAAATACTGGAGAGACCATTGCTGTTTTGAATCAAAATTTTCTAAATCAGATCATTTTATTCTTTTTCCTCTTTTGCATCAGATTGAATTTGTTGAGCAGCTTCCAAAGACGATCACTGGAAAAATCAGACGGAATGAACTGAGGAAGAAGGAGTGGGGCCAGCATCTTCGAGCCACCTAACACTTGGAAGGCAGATMCTTTGATTGATATGAGGCCTATTACATTTAACAAGAAAATCACGATAGGAGGTAATGAAGGCTATAGTTCTTGCGTGCATCCAAATTAAGTACCCTACTTGTATGCATCTTAAAAGCCTCAAGGATTTTTAGAAATAAAAGTATTTACAATAAATATTTACTAAGGTGAGTTATGAAAAAAATCTAAGTAGCAAAATGTGGACATCTTTAAGATTATAGTGTGGGCAGCCTCTAACCGTCAGACATAACCTTCACAAGTAGGTGGTAGTTATTCAGCAGTTTCTTCTGAAGAGCTGTAGATCTTCCATACAGGAGAGCTAGTGGTAGGAGGGAAAAAAAAAACCTGACCAATGAATGCATCGTTAATCCTGATTATCAGCATCACCCACCAATAAACATTCAAAGTTAGTCTTTGTGTTTGGTCTCTAATGATCCTTTCCGATGTGTGAATATGGTGGTACTGGTTTAAGTCCGTACAAAAAAAGGTTTAAAATTTAAAGAAAACACTAGTTGGGTAAGAAAGTAGAGTTTTAATAAATGGAGAGGAAAGGACAGGTCTAGAAAGAAAAAAGTCCACTTGATTTTCCAACTTCTAAAACAATTTTGAGAAAAGAGGAAATCATAAAAGAAACACTGTTAAGAGGCTTAAACACATCCTTTTCTTTAAACCAAGACAAGTAACACTTGGTGTTCTGCAAGACAAGCCTTTTTCCATTTACAAACCCCATCCTTTTAGTCTACAAATGAAATACTGAAGCTAGCAGTGTCAAAAGCATACTCCAAACCATACTGGAAAGCAGATTATAGCTATGCTCTATTGATTTTTTTTTTTAATTCACTGAGATACCAAAAAAGCTGCTGACAATGGAAACAGGCACTGATAGACGTTGTTTTCAATGTGAAACAAAATTAGTATTATAAAGCTAAAACTATGACCGAAAGTTACCCCTGTTTCCACTCCATCCAATATGGTGTAACAGAAAGCTTCTTCCATAAGAAACTTGCAGTATTTAAATTCAAGTTTTGAGACCTCAAGAAAAAAAAAAAAAACACAAAAACTGTTCCTCCCCTTTACTCCTTGTAGTTATATCTTTGGAAAGAGCAGCAAACRGCTATTTGCATGAAATTACTCAAAAGGATTCTGTTCAACAAGTACATAGAGCATTTGCTGTATGCCAGTAACTGCTGTATACACAGCTGTGGTAAACACAAATGTAATTTTGCTAAAATTCTTTGCAATGCCTGCACTGTACTTCTACTGTTCTACAACAGCCAGTTGTTATTCATTCTTGCATATTCTTGCACAAATATTCAAGTATTTTAATCATAGCATTCTTCCCCTACACTTTAAAGACTCAGAATATTCTTGCAGAAAGATGTCCATGTGTGTGTATATATCCCTTCATCATACAGGAAAGGATAAGGAGTTTTATCCCCTTCTGATTACATGCAAAATATATCTGAGAGTTCTGCAGTCACCCAGACTGTGAGATCACTCACTTCCCTCAAAATCCTCTTGCAAACAACTGCCTTTTCAAGATTTCTCACTTCTGTCACTACATGCTGCTAGGGCTGATTCTGGAATGTCTTTTGATTTCTGCAGTTCTCAGATACAATAAGGGAGAGTCAGTATACGTCAGGCTGGCCACATGTGCATATGTATGCACACACTTGCTCTCCATGCTACATAAAGACAACACAGAACAAAGCTGCAGAGGAATTACAGCCATTTCACCTTTCCCTTTTGAGCACTGTTATGTCTGCAATAACATCAGCTCCACCTGCAGATACACCGTGAGCATTAAAATTCTTACACATGTGGATTTAAAAAACAAGACTCCAAATGAAAACCCACTCTTCTCTTCACAAAGCCCTTTCAGAACTCTAGGGCATTTTTAATAGATTTCCTTTGTGTTTATCTTTCCCATCTACTATATCTTTTACACTGTAAGTATATCATTCTCCTTGGGGTTGGTTTCTTGTTCACCTTCATTCTTGTTCTCTTGTGTTACTTCTTTTGAGTTCTCTTCCTCCTCCACTTCTTTTTTTTCTGCCTTTGAGTCTTTTTCTTCAGTCACACTTGACTTTTGCTGTGCATCTTCTTTGTTGCTCTTCACCACCTCCTGTAGATTGTATTTTCTGAACAGAACATAGTCTCTCACCACACTCAAGCAACAGACGTTTTTTATTATTTCCACCACAATAGTATACTGTGGGTTATTGAGATCCACTTTATTTTCTGGATTGAGGCTGCCCACAATTCCTGTAAAATAAGAAACAGTTTAAAAGATGGAAAAATAGCTTTAGCATACCTTAATGTAAGAAGGGTTACAGAGGAAAAAGAACATCTCCCTTAAGAACATCTTAACCCACTTAAGATTTTAGCAACAAAAACAAAGGCCCATTAAGCCTACTCTGCTGTCACCCAAGTTCTGTGCACCCACTATTGGGCAGATTATTTATTTGTTTTGATTCTATGTGAAGTATATACATACCTGCCAACTCCTTAATTACTTCTTCCCTACTCATATGACTGTTATTACGAGCTTTGTAAACAATTTGAAAAGTACCCTTATTAGGGACTTTAAACCAAGGCTCAAAAAATGTTTCCGTGTATTTTTTCATATCCTCCATAAAAGCTTTGCAAGTTCCAGAAATAGGTAACATGCGCAGAATGACTCTTGTTTTCTTCTTTTTAGTGGTATGCATATCCTTTAATATATGGTGCACCAGATTCTCAGGTTCTACAAGAAAAACAGCAAGGTATGAGACACAAGTTGAAGGCATTTTCCTCCCTCCTCCCCCTCATATACTAAGCTGGGAAAACCTGCTTGGCTGCACTGCTGCCAGCATGAAACCCTGATCTGAAAGTAGTTTTACTTTRCCCAAGCCAGATCTTGCTAAAGTTGTGCCAGCACCACGTGTAGTGACCCTGGTAATGACAAAATTTGTGGGGGAGCAGAAGAGAAAGCCTGTATTTGTTTGGTATAAGCTGCTTCCTCAGGCACTGTGCTCTGTGCACTGCGTCCGCACCTATGCCCTGCGTCCGGATGAAGACGACGTTGTTGGCGCCGCTCTCCACCGACTGGAACCGCCGCAGCTTGTGCTCCGTGGAGGCGCGGATCTGGCCCACCTCCTTCCTCAGGGCTGCCTCGACGTCGTCCTCCTCATCCTCCTCCGGGTCGCTTCCCGACAGCCGCTCCTCGGCCTCTGAGAACTGTTGGCACAAGTCACGGCCCGGGTAAGCGCCACGCAGCCGGCCGCACAGTGGGAGGGCGCGCGGGGCAAAGCCCTCAGCAGCGCGGCCCGCTGCTCCAGCGCTCGCTAAGGGCGCGCGAAGCCGGCTCCCCGTTACCTGCTCGGGCCCGTAGAGCAGGTCCCCGTACTCGCCGAGCAGGCTGTAGGCCTCGCCCACGCACTTGCGCTCGTTCATGTTGCAGGTGATGAGGATGCCGCGCATGCCGGCCTCGAGCTGCCGCCCGCCGCGCGCGCGCTTGGCC